AGCCATGTTGCGGTGCACTGGCCTGGGGTTGTGGACGTGACCTCCCGCCGCCTCACAGCGGTTAGGAACCTCTACAGCCTCCGTCTTCGTGACGGGCACCTTGTGCGTCAGGGAACCTTCTCTGCCCTAGACTCGGACGTTCTGAGTACCGGCCTTTGACGCACTGGACACACAGACTTGGAGCGGGTTACGTCAGGAACTGGACAGCAGGAATTAGGTGCAGGTGGGGAGGTGGAGGGACGGATTAGGTGGTTCTCGGGCTCGTGGGGGAACGCGCACCATGACCAGGAAGGACAGGGAGGCCGTGGAGAAGGGGTGGGGATACCACTTTTATTGTTCAAAAGTCCACTCTGGCCAGTGCGGTGCAGCAGGAAGAGTCGGTTCACTTGACGCCCGCAGAGCCGAGCGCTAGACACGGAGGTAGCGTTGGAGAAATGTGGGCTCTCTTACTATGAACGGGTCCCCTGGGGAACAGGGAGCTGAGGCCCAAGAGCCCCACCTCTCCAGGGGCACGTAGGTTACAGAGGGCAAATCCAGGGCCGTGCGGAGGCTGATGGGCTGGAGGGGACGTAGGAGAATCGGTTGGTTCTGGGGTGTGCGGGCAGCCCTGAGGTCTGTTCTGCGGCTCCTGTCCGGTCTCATGGAAAAGTAGCCCCGAGATTCGCTCCACCTCAGGGCTCAGGGGCTGAACCTGAACGTAGGTCGAGGTGTCCTCCTCAGCTCCCGAGACCCCGACCCGGGCCCGTCGGTCAGGTCCCGGGCACGGTCTGCTGCTGCCTCAGGGGGGCCGATTATCTGAGGGCGAGACTAGGTCTCTGAGGGGTGTGTGTTGGAGAGAGAGGTGGTTTCTGAAGCTGAATTGAATCAAGGTCCCAGGACCTTTGGTCTCAGGATGCTCTGGCCAGTGTCGTGGAGAAGGAGCAGAGGCCCTTGAATTAGAGGAGAGAGATATGTCAATATTAGCCTGGGGGGGTGTATACTCTTTGAGCATAGTCGTGATTCCACGTGGAATTCGTGGATTCTCAGAGGACTGGCCCTCGAAGGAAAGCACCCGCGAGTGGGGGTGTGTCGTGCGGCTCCGTCTCCCCATCCTCTCCCTGTCGGACTGTAAATGCTGTTGAAACAGTCTTACCTACTTCGTACCCCTGAACTACCATCCTGCTCCAGCAGTGCAGGAGGGAGTCACTCTGCACGGGGGCTCCTGGTGGAGACAGCAGGAGGGGCAGAGAGGGGTCAGGTGAGGGGCCAGGTGAGGGGCCAGGTGAGGGGTCAGGTGAGGGGTCAGGTGAGGGGCCAGGTGAGGGGTCAGGTGAGGGGTCAGGTGAGGAATCAGGGGAGGGGTCAGGTGAGGGGTCAGGTGAGAGGTCAGGTGAGGGGCCAGGTGAGGGGGCAGGTGAGGGGTCAGGTGAGGGGCCAGGTGAGGGGTCAGGTGAGGGGGTCACATGAGGGGTCACATGAGGGGTCACATGAGGGGTCAGGTGAGGGGTCGGGTGAGGGGTCACATGAGGGGTCAGGTGAGGGGTCACATGAGGGGTCAGGTGAGGGGTCACATGAGGGGTCACGTGAGGGGTCAGGTGAGGGGTCGGGTGAGGGGTCGGGTGAGGGGTCGGGTGAGGGGTCAGGTGAGGGGTCAGGTGATGGGTCAGGTGAGGGGTCGGGTGAGGGGTCAGGTGAGGGGTCGGGTGATGGGTCGGGTGAGGGGTCGGGTGAGGGATCAGGTGAGGGATCAGGTGAGGGGTCACATGAGGGGTCAGGTGAGGGGCCAGATGAGGGGTCAGGTGAGGGTTCCAGATTAGGTGTCAGGTGAGGGGTCAGGTGAGGGGTCAGGTGAGGGGCCAGATGAGGGGTCAGGTGAGGGTTCCAGATTAGGTGTCAGGTGAGGGGTCAGGTGAGGGGTCAGGTGAGGGTCAGGTCCTTGCCTCAGACACTGTTTCCATCCATCACACTTCTGCACGAAACCCCTGCGGAGCTGCGCTGCAAGGTCCTCTTGCACGACCTTTGCCCCCGCCGCCCCTTCCCCAGTGCCAGTGTCTCCCTGGGGCCCTGAAGAAGCCCTGTGGCGTGGGAATTACTGCGGATCAGCATCCGCTTTGCAATGGTGATCAGGCTGGCGGTGCACCCCTGTGCCCGGCTGGCAAACCCTGCTGGGGAGCGAGACAGCCCCCCCTGCTGGCAGGTATCTGCACGGGCATCGGCGCTGACCGGTGGGCAGCGGGCACTCCCAGGAGAGACAGGAGGGAGGCTGGGCCGGCCTTGCTTCTGTGAGAACCTGAGCCCGGAGCCTGGAGGGAGAGGGTCTCGGGGGGGAGCAGGAAGCGCCCACAGCCCTTTGCGCCTGCGGAGGGCGGACGGGAGAGGCCGGTCTGCGAGCTGATTCGGCCTGGGCACCAGCGTGTTCTGATTCTGTTTCAGGAGAAGACGAAGGAAACAAGACCCTGAATTGGGGGCAATCAAGGGAGCTTCGCGCATACAGACGGGTGTTGGTTAAAGACCAGAACTCAGAAGGTCGGGTTTGCTTCTCCGAGGTGCTCAGTGGGTTCCCTTTCGTTCTGTTCTCACGAGCGGTTGGACCTCAGAGCAAATCGCTCGGAGAAATGAGCGCTTAGCTGTGCGGACACCAGTCCCGGAGACGCCGAAACGCTCGGCCCGCAGCAGCTAAGCGGACTTTCCCACACACGTTCCGCTCTGAGCGACACACCGGTGACGAGAACCTTTTTCTGAAGAGGACCGTGAGCTATGAAGTCAGTCCTTATTTTCGCTCCTCATTCTGGGGTAATCGATAGTGGACAAAGGGGCCACATGCTGAACCTGACATGCTCAGGGGCCCCGCAGGGCGGCCTCACAAACTCGGAGACCGAACGTCACCACCCGGGGTGGTCCGGGCACAGACCCTCCTCACCAGCGCGGTCGTGGTGGGTAGTCACGTCCTAGGCCTGTGGCTTCCGTGACAAAGGTCCAGCTTTACCGTCACTGGCCTGTCCACTGTCCTTCGCATCGAAGTGAACAAGCCTTTGGGGCGTCAGGGGTCCCCTTTCCCAGACCCCTCAGGGCTCACCGGGGCAGAGCCCACAGAACCCCTTGTAGCCTGGTTCCCCGAACACCGGCCCCGTGTGCTGTAAATGTTCATGGTCGACCTTCCTGTCACCCCAGAGACTCCCCGCTTTGCTTCTCCTGCCCCCCTCATCTGCCACCCACGGACGTCACGTCACCCTCACCTCTTCCCCTTTGCTTCCAACGTATAAAATAAGCCGCAAGACTGCCCTTCTCGGAAATACTTGTTCGATGCGTTGAGATTTTGCTTCCTGGAAATTGTCGTCAGTTTGGCTCAAATAAACTCATAAAAATTCTTACAGGTTTGGACGTTTCTCACATCTGTGCAATGAACTGCTCCAAGGTCCCTCGTCTGTGAATGGAACTAGCATATCAATCTCGTAAAATAGTTAATGATATAATTTATATCAAGCAGGAGAGGTCCTCGCGTATAATGCATTCCCCTAACACACGAATCACAATTATTAATTAATATTACTTCTCAGAGGTAGAAATGTATTTCGCAGTGGGAAGTTTTTATAGAGATGGCTGTTGCATCCTATTTATAGTATATAGATTTGCTGGGGCCTACAGTACTCTCTTAATACATTGCAAGTCTATTATATCCATCAAATATTAGTGTATGAATTCAGTGACTCTTAGGTGAGCATATGATTGTTAAAAATGTATAGTAGGTTTTATTTTCAAAAATGAATACTGATTCTACATTTATCTCAAAAATATGACCTTGACATGCTTTTGAAAATTAGAGATTCCCCAAACATCACATTTTCAGAAACTCATTACAAGTTAATAAAACAGAAATAATGGAAAATAGTGAAAAAATGCCCAGTTTTAAAAGGCACATGTATTATGATGAAGGACATGAAGCAGATGATATACATGGACACATAAGCTTTAAAAAGAAAATCTAGATACAAACTTTGAAATCACGTGATGATTGAATCAAATTTGGGGGAAACACAAAACATAGTATTTCTATACCTTCGCCAAACAGAACAAACACGGAATAAGGAAACAGTGTGTCTGGTCAACTTGCAATGACAGCCTTGGGGACGCAGCTCAGGAAGAGCACCCCGCATTTTTTCAGTTTCTTGTGGTTTTGGTGAGCAAATAAAACCAAGACATTTTTCTGTCCGGTTCTTTAGGTTGAATAAAAACCCAAAGTCCTTATCCGAGTCGTGAGAAAAGCGCTCGCACACACACGTGGTTTCTTACCGAGGTGCAGCCGCCTCAGACACAAGCCGAAGGGAGACGCTGCTGTCCTGGGGCCGCACAGCGCACAGGTCCTGGGGCCGCACGGCTCAGCGCACAGGTGTCCGCGCCGAGTCCTGACGAGCCCTGGCGAGCAGCGTCCCCGACAACTTATCTGCCTTTTCAAAGATGAGAATTTAACATCCGAGGAAGGGGAGGCCCCGGGGAAATGCAAAGCTGTCAGGAAAGGGGTATCAGAGGGACATTTGTCCTGCTGGCTGAAGCCCTTCTACCAGCCTTCGTTGTAAATCAAGCGCATTAATTGCTAAGCTATGTTTAAACAACTACTCCTCACCGTCTTCGGTCTTCTCCCAGTGTCCCTGAAAAGCAGTGGTTGAACCCTGTTAATGCAGTGGGATGGACCAGTGTGTCCTTCAGAGTCGAACCTGGAAGCCTGGCTTATTTCTGACCCCCGGTCTCCGTCCAGATGCTGTCGGGACAGTCAGAGGGCAAAGTCCTCGTTTTGAGCAAGGTCAGCGCGAAGAAGCTGGTGAGAGGGAAAAGACGCCCAGGCCACGGTGGGAAACAGGGCGGTGGACCACGGAGCGCCCCCCTCCCCCCAGCTGGCACGGAGCCATCCTGGCAGGTGCAGGACCACGGCGAGGTTCGCAGAGAACAGCAGGCCACGTTCTGTGGGCTCCACGCGGAGCAGCGGCGGGCACGGCGGTCGCGGGCCAGGCCGGTGGAGGACACGCCTACACGTACTGGCTTCTGGAGTGTGCGCTGAGCGGCTTCTGCTGCGTGGCAGAGCCCCTGGGGGCCGTGCGCCGGGCCGGGAAGGAGTACCTGTGGCGCCGGCTTTCTCCACCAGCGTAGGACGCACAGGCCAGCAGGGCCCCTCCGGCCACCAGCAGCAGCGCCGTGACCCAGCCGAGGTAGAGGGCCTCCCCCAGCTCGCGCTTCTGGCCGTCGTCCACGGTGGGGTTGTAGAAGTCGGTGACGATGGAGCTGGCCACCCAGCTCACGGGGGTGAGCACCACCACGCCCACGACGATGAACAGCATTCCGGCCGTGAGCAGGATGGGGCCCTTGGCCCTGCCGTCGTCCCCAGCGCACCGGCTGCACAGCACGCCCAGCCCGGCCAGCAGCAGGGCCAGGACGGCCAGCACGGTCGCCGTGCACATCAGCCCCCGGGCGGCCTGCAGCGGGGGCGGCAGGGCCAGCAGGGAGTCGTACACCTTGCACTGCAGCCGGAGGTTGCTGTGGCTCCGGCAGCTCATCCACAGCCCCTCCCAGAGGTTCTCGAACACCACGATGTTGCTGCCGATGAAGGCGGACACTTTCCACTGAGGCATGATGGTGACGGCCACGGTGCCCACCATGCCCACGCCGCCCAGCAGCAGCCCGGTGTACTGCAGGGCAGCGGCCATGGCCCCCGACGCCTCCCTGCCTCGGCTCCGCAGCCCGGAGCTCGCGTCCGGAGGGAGCCGCCGCCCTGTGTAATGCACTCCGAACGCTGTGGCTCCTCAGACCAGCCCTGCCGGCTACCTCCAGCCAGATGAAGCCCGGAGCTGGCTGGCTGAGCACCACCCCCCCACCCCCCACAGGTAAACTCACAAATCAGGTGGGGCAACTTTCTTGGCCAATAAAAGACGGATGGTAACCCAGGTGTGTTTAAACCGACACGAGATACTTGGAATGGCTGGACCTGCGCATAAACATTCTCTGTCCTTCTCAGTTTTCCAAGAAGACAGAGCGGTGTGTTGGCCTGTGGGCATCATTATGAAAGCTGGCACAGTCATCGAGAAACGCTCCGACGACCCGGGCTCGGTGCAGAGGTGTGCCTGGTGCGCAGTCCTAAAAGCCGGCGCGGGCGGCTGCGCCGAGGTGTAAAATGACGGCGCCTCAGATTTGCCAGCACCCCTCAAAGCGAAGGGACGCGGGTGATTTCCTCCCGTCTGGGGAACCACACTCTGGGGCTCAGGGGTCAGGAGTTGATTAAAAGTCTGCAACTAGGAAGCAGGCTGGCCGGGCTGGGCCGGGAGCAGACTGGCCGGAGGACAACGCTTGGGCAGGACTGAGGGCTGAGCTTGGGGACACCAAGCGTGCGCTTTGCCTTCCGGCAGGAAAACCAGCCGTCGGCATTGGAACCGTGATCGACAGCCAGGAAAAAACATGAGAAAAAAATGAACCTATAGGAATTGGAATCTTAACTTAAAAGAAAAAGTATATAAAAAGAAAACGATAACCTGCGTGACCTTACGTAGCCGATACTCGTGACAGCAATTCGATGACGAAGTGGTTCACAGGTCGCTGTCCTGGCTGCTCTGTGGGCGGAGACCAAAGGAAGCGGAATTCTGCAGACGGTACACGGATCTGTGCCAACGGCCAGTGTCTCTAACTAAAGTTATTCTGGGATAAGCTGACTATAAGCATTTAACTCAATTATAGTAGGTGTTAACTAGACTGGTCTTTAATTCCGTGTGGCAGGAGGAGCTAGAAGCCCCTGAGTGTAACACAGGTCGGTCTGTCGCACCTGAGTCTCTGGAGCGACCCACACGTGGTCTGCAACCTGTACGTCCACGTCCGGGAAGCACCGGTGCGACCGAGGACCCCAGAAGCAGCCGCATGTGCTTCCTGACCCCTCTTCCATCTCTGGGGAGCTCCTGTCCCCCACATTATCAGAAGCAGGATTCACATTCAGCAATTCGATTCGCAAAATTAAACCCAGTCCTGCTAACTGCATGATACACGCAGCACTTCGTCCTCGTCAGTGACACCCGCGCCCCGTGTCTCCGCCTCGTCTCTGTCGTTCTTATTCTCACTGTGACGAGTCCCCACCCAACGACTGCTGAGTCTGGGGTTCCCCCTGGTTCTGATCACTGCTCGAAATGATATTTGCTCCTGCCAATCAAGCAGTTGCCAGCTGCCCTTGTTTTCCGGGTTCATGTTTGTTTTTTCCCCTGTTGTGTTGACAGGTGTCCAGCTGTATTTATTTTTCATTGTTTTCCGCTGTCCGTGCACTGTGCTCAGCTGACCACCTGCCCTGAGGAAACAGGCGGACGTACTGATGGACCTGTGTTTGCTGTTCCCGGCCTGAGGCTGTTCCCGGCCTGAGGCTGTTCCCGGCCTGAGGCTGTGCCTGCCCCCCGCTCCGCGGCCTCCGAGTCTGCTCGTGGGGAGCAGCCCCCCGCGTACCGCTGCCGCCCCCCAAACTCCAGTGCTGCTTGAACCAAACGCGACAGGCCGGGTGGTTTAGACCAGGAAGTGAGCTGGTCCCAGGCCTGGAGGCTGCGGCGTGAGAGATGGAGCCGGGCCTGGTGACAGCCCCCCTGGGCGGCAGGGAGCCCCTCTGTTCTCCCACAGGCCCCAGAGGGAGAGCTGTATTCTCTCCCTTTTCTTATAAAGACACGGGTCCTGTTAGGGTGACTCTGCCCCCACGGCCTCAGCCAAACCTAAGCACCTCGCAAACGCCCACACTGAGGGTTAAGGTCTCGACATACGGATTCAGGGAGGATGAGAACACGCCTCTGACTGCTAACCGTCCAAGCAGTCAAATGCACACGGTTGTTTTGTTATTGATTGGGGGGGGGGGACACAGAAACATCCATGTGTGAGAGAAACATCGATTGGTGCCCCCAAACGTGCCCTGGCAGGGATCGAACCCACTGCCTTCGCTACACGGACGACACCCCAACTGACTGGACCGCCCGGCCAGGGCGACGTCACACAACCCCGAAGGGTCTGTGCTTATGGTCTCGACATTTCTCTTTCTTCCAGGATCAAAAAAAAAAGAGAGAGAGAGAGAGAGAAAGAAATAAGAAGAAAACAAGTAGAAAAAAATAGACTATGGTAACAATGATTGTTAAAATGATTTCATCGCTCCGAGTTTTCATTATATTCATTATATTTTTATATTTATATATTTCATTATATTTTTAAAAATCAAAATCTGAGGTGAATTCCGACCTATCCAGGAAGACGGCTCCATGAGCTTTATGGAGTGTGGTGGACTTGATGCCCCCACTAAAGGACTGGAAATACAAGAAAAAAATGTAAAATTATGTCAGATACTGTGGGATTTTTCCCCCTCTAAATCGATGTGTAATTTCTATGGACACAGTTGGCATGAACCAACCTAATTTTAATAATTTTGGGGAAAATTTTTAAAGGAGCTGGAATTTGCTGATGATCATCGTAGCTGCTGAGTATTAGATGTTCCTGTGCTACGGTTCCGGGCATCGACCTTGTGGCAGAGGCTGGGTTACAGTTGTGCGTATGTGAAACACAGAGGTGATTCTGCTGCTATTATGCATCAGTTATTGTTTTATTTTCCATATGAACAGGTGTAAGCTGACTTCGGCCCCACCCTGTATTTAAAATGTCCCCAGAAGCCCCCTTTTATAATTGAGTGAATTAGGACCCAGGAGAGACTGTGCTTTTCCTAAGACCACACAGCTGTTGCTGGACCCATGGAAACAGAACCCAGGTTTGTCCCTGAAACAAAACCCCTGCTGTTACCGCGTCTTCTCGAAACTCTGTGTGGCTTTGTGACGTTGTTGCAAACCTTTGCTTCACCGAGGCTGCAAACGTATCCCCCGAGATCTCTGTCCAGAGAAGTTCTACAGGAAACACCACCCACAGTGATTCCTGTGTAGAGTTTCAGGAAGTAGCCAACCCCATGTGTCCCTTGGCACATTTTCTTTCTTTCTTTTTTAATGTGTTTTTGTTTTTTTTATCATCCTCACCCGAGGACATTTTCCCATTCTTTGTTCAGATAGAGTGGGAGGAACAGAGAGAGAGAGAAACATCGACGTGAAAGGGACACATCGAGTGGCTGCCACCTGCACAACCAACCAGGGCTGGGGACAAACTGCAACCGAGGTACGTGCCCTTGGCAGGAACCGAACCCGGGTCTCTCCGGACCGCAGGCCGATGCTCTAACTGCTGAGCCAAACCGGCCAGGGCTTAATGTGTTTTTTATTGATTTTTTTTAGAGAGAGAGAGAGAGAGATAGAAACATCAATGTGAGAGAGAAACATGGATCGGCCGCCTCCTGCACGCCCCCCACTGGGGATCGAGCCTGCAACCCGGGCATGTGCCCTGACCAGGAATCAAACTGGGACCTCTCCGTCCACGGGACACGCTCCATCCACTGAGCCACACCGGCCGGGCTCATCTTGCAGTTTCTTAACTACAGACGAGGTTGTGGAGCGTGATGCTCCACCACCACGGAACATGCGTGTGTCTGACAGCACAGCAGAACGAATTCAGTGTGATGACCCGGACAGCGTCACGAACCACGGCCCTTGTCGGTGGTGACGCAGGAGCCCCCTTCCGTGTCCACGGGACCTCACTAATGATGAACAGCTAGAGGCCAGTCACCTTATTGCTCCACTAGAATTATTTTTCTCAGTCACTCACTAAAATGTTCCATCTTTTCCACCAAAAGGCAAAATAAATACATGATTTATGTGGCAGAAAACTGCAGGCTACACGGTTGTCTGGGGACTTGACTGAGAAACGAATTTTTGAAACTCTCAGTTCCGCGTGATAATCCTGTCTCCTGTAACGAAGAGGGTGACATGCTCCTTTGGATGGGGGCGAAGGGTCCGTAAGAAAACGCACACCCCGTCAGTCATCGTCACCTTTCTGCCCAGGTGGCCACGTGCGTTAGGACTGGGACTGCAGCCCCAGGGGAGAAGGCCCAGGACGAGCCCCTCCTGCGACTCTATTTCGAATCCACATCGATTCGGTTCAGTTATGTGAAGAGAAGAGAAGAAGGATGTAGAACCATCTTCAATATGCCTACAGATGCTTAATGTAATATGTTTTTAAAACAGTACTTAACGTGACTGTGAATCACAAAAACGATTCCATAATTACCAAGTTATATTAACAAGTAAGGTGATTAAGTGACATAATTGATCGAAACTATGTTTTGATCCTCCCAAATAACCATTTTTAGAACAGACCTATTATTATATTCGTTTTATGAAGGGAATTGAGACAGAAAGCTGAAGCAGCAGGCACACAGCCCCCCACTAACGGGGAGGACGGCCAGGGCAGGTACACAAATGTCCGGACCCCTGAGGCCGTGCTCCTGACTCCTGGGTCGGCCTGGCTCTCAGTGCTGCCCACCGCAAAGGTCACACACTGGTCACTGTGACAGTCCATCACCGGTGACCTCTGGACCGAAACCCTGCACAGGTGGCCCTCCGGAGCAGGGAGCAGAACAGAGAAATACGCATCTCCCTTTCCTGAAACAGCCCCGTTCGGTGGGAGACGTCAGGACGAGAACGTACGCGTTGAGAGACTGTCCACACGCAGAACACACACAGCCACGCGTCCTGAGCGAACAGAACCCGAGAGCACGAGAAATAACTTCCTCGTGTAAAGTTGCGTTAACAGGGCAGGGAAAGTAATTAAC